TTAAGTAGAAAAACTTATCTTTATAGGAAAAAATAAAATGCAGTGGGTCCCCTTGGTGCCTGCTTTCTAAAAACCCAAAGGTCAACGCTTAGTAAAAAGTGAAATGATTGATATATATAAATAAAACATAGATACTGCCTCATCACAGACAGTGACCTTTAAATTAAAACTACAGAAAGGTTATATGCCTAACATCTTTATATCTATAAAGACTGTTTACCTTTATAAAGCGTAAGTTTTACTTTCCACTTGCTGATCTTTTGACTAATATTAACCTTGCCCTTTTAATAAGTTACCACTTCCAAGAACAACTACTTCTTATATGTAGACATTATTAAATTGTATAATTATGCAAAAATCATAAGAATTGTAAAATCATTAGTACGTCATACAATCGTTTTGATATGTTTTGATTGTTAATTATTTTTTTTACTGTTAACTTTCTGCTAAGTGTGTGCCAAAAATTATGATATAAATAAATCAGCACTGCTGTGCTTCAGTGCCAGAGTGCCTGAAAAGAACTCTGGTCACGACTCTTCCTTCCCTCGCCTCATCACGCCTCCTTCTCGGGTCCCCGTGAACCCCCCCAGAGCTGGCCTCCGGCACTTAGCCTTAGGGACCTCAGATCTCCCCACCCCGCAATGACTCCACGGAGTCAGTCACCTTCTCCTCCCTGTCTTCCCAGCACAGGGGCCAGCGGGTTTGTGCTCCGGGAGGGGTGTGGCTGATTTTAGAGCTGCGCAGGTGGAGGGATGGGAGGTGGAGCCTTCCCTGGGCAGGGAACCAAGCTGATGAGTGAGAGAAAGAGAAAGCAAAAGAGACAGAGACAGACAAGAAGAGAGGGACAGAGACAAACAAGAAGAGAGGGACAGAGAGACAGTAGAGAGACAGAGACAGAGGAAACAGACAGACAGACAGAGATAGAGACCCACAGGAGAGTGGCAGAGATCTAAGGGACCTGGGAGGGTAAGGACCGATCCCTAGACTGGGAACCTTGGCTCTCTGAGCTGGGGTGGGACCCTCTGAGTCCCTCGCAAACCCCAGTTACCTGAGACGGGGAGGGACAGAGGGAAGCCTTGGAAGGCAGCCTGGGGGAACACCCACAGCTCAGGAGAGTGGGGCCAGCCAGGTGGGGGTGGGTGTGCAGAGGAATCTGACAAGGTCCTTGCAGGGAAGTGTCCTTGGGTCTAGGAGGAGACAGGACCTGCAAGAGCCAGAAGGAGGACTCAGGGTCAAGGGTCTGTGCATGCGGCAGGGGCGGCTGGCATTATTGTGCGTCTGCCTTCAAGAGAGGATGAGGTCAGGCATTCTGCTGATCAGGCTCTCCTGACCCCAACTGACCGGTGCCCCCAGCCCTACCAGGTCTCACCCACCCTGGCTCCATCTCCCGCCTCCTCCTCATGTCACAGCCTCCTAGCTCAGCAGGCCACTGCCCTGCTCTTGGCACCCTTTCCTAGGGTTGCTGGAACGAAGTATCACAACTTGGGCGATGATTAGAAATCTGTTCTCTCAGGTCTGGCGGCCAGAAGGCTGAGGTCAAAGTGCCTTGTAGGGGAGGCTCTTGAGGGCCAGGAGGGGGTTTTGTTCTGAGCCTCGCTCCTTAGTGGGTAGGTGGTTGTCTTTTTCTCCTTGGTTTTTTCCCTGTGTGTATCTGTCAAATTTCCCCCTCTTTTTTTTTTTTGAGTTGGAGTCTCACTCTGTCACCCAGGCTGGAGTGCAGTGGCATGCTCGCAGTCACTGCAGTCTCAGCCTGCTGGGCTCATGTGATCCTTCTGCCTGAACCTTGCAAATAACTGGAACTACAGGCACGCACCACCATGCCTGGTTAATTTTTTGATTTATTGTAGAGACGAGGTCTTGCCAATTTGCCCACGCTGGCCTCGAACCTTTGAGCTCAGGCAATCCTCTTGCCTCAGCCTCCCAGGCTTGAGCCACCGCACCCTGCCATATTTCCCCCTTTTTATAAGGGTACCTTGAGCACCAGGAAGACCTTCTAGGGAAGGGCACAATGCAACCCATTACACCCTCGAAGAGCCCAGATAGATAGGACCTACAGATCACACAGCCCTGGTGAGTTTCATGTGGGTTAACTAGACCCCAGCTGTCCCCTTCCTGCCACTTAGGAGTGCATTTCATTTCTGAAACCCCCTTCCACACCCAGGAAGTCCAGATCTCTCCCTGAGCCGTCTCAGAATTCTAGAGTGGGAGAGCGAAGGAGGCTGTGCCTGTACCAGCCGAAAGGCTTCACCTCAGTCAGGGCAGTGTCTCACAGGTGTAATTCCAGCACTTTGGGAGTCCTAGGCGAGATGATTGCTTGAGACCAGCAGATGGAGACCAACCAGGGCAACATAGTGAGGCCCCCATCTGTTTTTTATTTAAATTAAGTTAGAAGGCTTCATCTCTACAAGGTTGTCTTCTTGCTCGACCCATCCTCTCCCTCCATGACTGTCTCTCAAGGACCACCATCTGGAGACATTTTGTGTTTCATTCCAGACAGTACCAACTTTTTTATAGCAGTATTTTAAGATTTTTATTTATTTATTATTATTTGTTATACATGCAGGATCTCACTATATTGCCTAGGGTAGCCTTGAACTCCTGGCCTCAAGCAATCCTCCTACCTTGGCCTCCCAAAGTGCTAGGATTATAGGTGTGGGGCACCAATCCGGCTCCTGTAACTTTATCGTGCTATAATTCACAGACCATGCAATTCACTTACTGCAGTGCACAATTCCATTTACAGAACTGGGAAACCATCACCCATTTTAGAACATTTTAATCACCTCAAGGAGAACTTTTGTCTCTCTGAGATATTGACACCAATCCTCACCTCCCCGTTCCCCAAGAGCCCTGGGCAGCCATTCATCTACCTCCTGTCACTGGGGGTTTGCTTATCCAGGTATTTCATAAAAATGGACTCATACTTTATAAGGCCTTTCGTGTCTGGCTGGCTTCACCGTGCATGATGATTTTGAGGGTCATCCGTGTTGTAACGTGTCAGTCCTTCGTTTCTTCTGAAGGCTGAATAACGGTCTACTGTGTGATGGATCCATTTTGTCTCTCTGTTCATCCACTGAAGAACATTTGGGCTGTTTCTACCTTCTGGTTACTAAGAATAATGCGGCTATGAACTTTCATGTATGAGTTTTTCTGTGGACAGATGTTTTCATTTCTTGTGGATTCATATGTAGGAATGGAATTGCTGGATCATATGGTAAATGTGTTTTTAACCTTTTGAGGAAAAGTCAGGCTATTTTCCATGGTGTGTCTGCACCATTTTCCATTCCCAGCAGCAGTGTGTGAGGGTTCTAGTTTCTCCACACCCTCATCAACACTTGTTATTATCTGTCTTTAATTGCAGTCATTGTAGTGTACTGAAATGATACCACATTAAATTTTTGATTTACATTTATCTGTGACTAACGAGGTCACAGGATCTTTTCTTGTGCTAATGAACACTTGCATATCCTGTGGGAATGTATATTCAGAACCCTTGCCCATTTTTAATTTGACGTCTTGTCCTCCTATTTTAAGGTGCAAGGATTCTTTTTGTATTCTGAATACAAATTTCTTATCAACTATGCAAATATTTTTTTCCCATTCTGTGGGCTGCCTTTCCACTTTCTTGATGGTGTCCTTTGAAGCACAACAGTTGTACATTTTGATTATGACTCCATACCATACTTTTAAATATACCATTTAAAAAATAAAATTACTTTGATGTATTTTTAGGTAGCAGACATAAATCTGTAAAGCCTGGAGACAATTACACATAGCTAGAAAGTAGCCTCAACTTCACAAGAGACATACCTCCTCTGAGCTCCCCTCAACCAACTTTTGAGGTCCTCTCTGCTTCCTCTACCCTCTCTTCCTACACCCCCCTCCACCAACCCTGGATTCCAACTTCTCCTGCAGGCAGACAATGGAAATCTGTCCAATTTCTGCTTCTAAACTTCCCCCAGGTCCACCTCCCTGTGGTCAGAGGAATTGAAGGGCTTTCCCTCTAACCATGTTTACTATCCTCCTGGGTGAGGCTGATAAGCTTCTAAAATACAAGTTTCCCCTTCTCTTTCTTGGAAAGGCCTCAGTGGCTGGTGGCTCAGAATTCTTAGGTCCTTGTCTGGTCACAGGCCTGGCCTCATGCTGGCCTGGTTGTCACCAGCAACTGGGGGCAACCTCCCCTGATGGCTGGGACTGCTGCCGCGGCCTCAGCTCCAGGAAGCACTATGGGGTCACTGAGGTAGGATGGAAACCTATGCAGTGGTCCAAAAATGACTCCTCCACGGAAGGGGTGGATACTTACACAGAGTGGCCCTGTAGAGAACATATGAGGAGACTGGCCCTGGGGAAGGAGAACATTGCAGAGCCACAGAAATGCCAGGTACAGTCAGCTGCTAGCCCTGTTTCCTCACCCATGTACATTTTGATTATGACTCCATACCATACTTTTAAATATACCATTTAAAAAATAAAATTACTTTGATGTATTTTTAGGTAGCAGACATAAATCTGTAAAGCCTGGAGACAATTACACATAGCTAGAAAGTAGCCTCAACTTCACAAGAGACATACCTCCTCTGAGCTCCCCTCAACCAACTTTTGAGGTCCTCTCTGCTTCCTCTACCCTCCCATCACCTGTTTTCACAAGGCAGCGTGAGTTCTGGAGAAAGTCCACAGACCTTGCTCTGAGAAACGCTGGCTATTCTGGGAAAGACAGGGTTCAGGGTAGACTTTCCTCTTCTAGTGATTTCCTCAAGAAGAGATGAGGCCTGTGTCCAGTCCAAAGACCAGCCCTTTTCTACCGCACTCTGGCTCATCTCTACCCCTTGTCCACCATCCACAGCCCCACCCACCCCTCACAGGTGACCCCCTGTTTCTTCAAGGTCATCCACTACTGGCGCTTTCCCAAGGACAGCAGCAGGACCCACCAGACTCCCCAAGACCATGGGGCCCAAGTGGCTGGACTGTTCCACCCCCACCTCTGGCCTGGTGTCTTCAAGCCCCCTAGAGTGACCCCTAAGTCTGGAGCCTGCGATTGTCAGTGCGAGTTCAACCAGGCCTCAGAGTGGTGACCAGTGACCCTCCTGCTGCTCCTTCTGCCCCTGCTGACTGGTGGCATCACCTCTCACTGAGGGGGGACATCCCAAGTGGAATAGCCCCCTACATGGAAAGGGGCTGGAGTCTCTCACCACTGGACCTGCTGGGGGCTTGTGAGGTGCAGCCAAGGCCCCTAGTCTTTTCCCGGGGGTGGGGGCTCATAAGCAGGCAGAGAGGGTGATCCCTGCAGAGGGGCAGCTCTGGCCGGAACTCATACTGGGATCAGCCTTCGTGGACACCTGTGGTCCCAGTTGTCACCTCTGGGGCCCACTGCCAGGGGTGATCACGTGCAGGGACTGTAGGTTGGTTGCTGTCCACCTCACTTCAGGCACAGGGGCTGTCAGGGGGTGGGCAATGTGGACCCTCCTTCTGGAGCTCTGGGAGACAAATTGTGATGGGTGGGGCCCAGGACTGTGGGCAAGGAGCAAAGACAAACTGGGAGTGGGACGGCAAACATCTGGTCCTTGGACTGTCCATACAATGTGATCTCTCTCACCCCTTCCTGGGGACTCCTGGGAAAGTCCATCCCCGGCCATGTGTGGTCCCTGCAGGATTTTGCTATTCCTGGAATAGCAATCGTTTCTTGAGGTGAAGTCTGCTGACTCTCTCCAGTCCCAGACTTGCCCGGCCACAGCAGATGGCATCCCCATGGGATGTCTCTGGTGTCTATGTGGCATGGACTGAACCCCAGCCACTCCCCTGCCTGTTGTTCTGAGGTCCCCACAGCTTATTATTCTGTCCTGTCTCCACGATGTCCCCCAACAGTCACTGTTATATTGGTGAGATGTGAACCCAGCCGAGACCACCCTGGAGGACTTATGTCTCACATCTAGGGTGACATCAGTGGCCATAAGGATGACCCTTGAACACCATCGCCACTAACCTAGCTTCCAGTCACACCACCCCAGGCCATACAGTCCAACCCCATCCTGGGCCCAGAACTGCCTCAACCTGACACCCTTCCCTCCCTCAAAACCCCCTCTGGGACTTCACCCTGGAGTTTCCACAGCCTCCACTCGGGAAACAGCAGGTTCCCATCAGCTAAACACTGGTGGAAAAAGGGTGGACTGAACTCTTGCAGGCTGGTCATTTCCTCCTCAGCACTCCTGGGTGGCCCTTATTCTTGGTGATACACGGTTAGACTGTGGTACACTTCATTTGCCTCGTAGCCCTAGGAAAGAGTGCTGAGCTGGGAGGCTGGGGCATGAAGAGGAAGTGGGAGGCTGAGCCAGGGTAGTCAGACCCTTTGGGACTGGGAGAAGCCCATGGGGTGCCCAGGGTTGCTGGGCCCAGTGTCCCACTGCTGCCCTTGGAGTCGGCAGGGGTCAGGAAAGCCTGGTCAACAGAATGCCTGGCCCCATGCTGTCACAAAGGCAGACCAACATCAATGCCAGCTACCCTTGCCAGCTGCACAGGCCCCTGACCTTGACAGCACCCTCTTGGGTCTTGTAGGTCTTGCCTCCTCCTGGAGCTGGGCACACCTCTCTGCAAGAACCTGGTCAGATTCCTCTGAACACCCACCTCTACCTGGCTGACTCCCCTCTCCTGAGCATGGGAGTTCCCCCAAGCAGCCCTCCAAGTCTGGGCTGCCCTCTGCCTCTCCCCCCTCAGGCTGCAGGGGTTGGGGAAGCAGCCCCTTCCTGGGCTCAGAAAGTTTCATCCCAGCTCAGAGAGCAAAGGGGCCCAGACCAGGGATGAATCCTCACCTCTTCCAAGGCCCTTCGAGCTCGCCTCTCTCCTCTGGGCTCTATCTCTGTCTGAATGTCTCTCTCCTCTGTCTGTCTCTCTCTTGTCTATCTCTCTCTTGTGTTTTCTCTTTCTCTCACTCATCAGCCTTGCCTTCTCCCCAGGGGAGGCACCACCCCCCACTCTAAAACCAACCACACCCTCTTCTGGAGCACAAACCTGCTAGCCCCTGTGCTGGGGGGAGAAGGTGACTGACAGCGGAGTCATCCTGGGGTGGGGGGATCTGGGGTCCTTGAGACTAAGGACACTGTGGCAGCAGGTTGTGGGGAAGGAACTTCTCTGAGACACTTTTCCCACCTCTGTTCCTCCCCAGTAGGTCCCAGTCCCTGGAACCCAGTGTCACCATGAGCTACTCCAAGGTGAGTAAGAGCAGGTGATGGGGGACAGGGACCCTGGAACTCCATGCCCCCAATGTGCCCTCTCCCACCTGCACCAGCCTCACCCTACTCACCCCTCCAGATCCACCTGCTGGGTCCCACTTGCCAGGGGAGAGGCTGATGGGGACTGGGGGACGGTGGGCAGGGCGGGCCTCCCAGGCAGGTGACCCGTGCAGTCCCCCGTGGCCCATGCCTGATGGCCCGAGCTCAGTGGGTGAGTCCTCTGCTATCACCATCCTGAGGTTTTGAGACTTACTAACGAGCAGTCCCACAGGTTCATTTTGCTGTGAATCCTTCCACTTACGTGGCAGGTCCTAGTTATGGGACCAGAACTCCAGCAGGGAGGGAAATTATGGAGGCAGTGCTGGGTGTGTGCATTTGAATGGATGCACCTGAAAAAGCCTCTAAATGTGTACGTGCCCTGAGTATTTCCCAAGTGCTTGTGTCAGGGCTCAGTTAGGGACACCCTGGTACAAGAAGTATCATTATGGGATAAGAGTGTCACTTGAGGTGTTAGATCCTACCTGTTTGGGGGGAACTGGAGTAGGAGGGACTGCAGGATGAGAGGAAACAGAGACCCTGTAGACCCTCACACCCTGGGAAACCTGGAGTGGGGGACAGCACTTCCCTGGAAATTGTCAGAACGTTCCTCTCAGGGGCTGGGCTGGCCCAAGGGCAGGACATGTCTCTTCCTCCCTTCCTGGGTTCCCTCAACCTTTCTCTCTACCCTTTCGCTGCCCCACACCAACTGTGAGGCTCACCAGATCCTACAAGGAGCTGTGGGGCCTGGGGCTATGGGGTTTTCCAGAGCTCAGCGGCTGGGCCCAAGTTCAGGAGGGTGACATGTAGGGTGATGAGCTATTGCTACTAGCTGGCACAGTATTTCTTTTGCCTAATTTCATGTGAAATTGTGCTGGCACAATGGCACCAAGGTGAGTAGACAGATGCCCTGCCAAAAATATTTGCCCAAGGCCTGGTAAACTCTGTGATCTGGGAAGACAGGCTTGTCCTTTTTTTTTGAGTCAGAGTCTCACTGTGTCACCCAGGCTGGAGTGCAGTGGCACACTCGTGGCCACCGCAGCCTAAACCTGCTGGATTCAGGCAATCCTTCCACCGTCAGCCTTCCAACAAGCTGGAACTATAGGTGTGTGCCACCATGCCTGGGTAAATTTTTTTATTTATTGTAGAGACAAGGTCTCTCCAAGTTGCCCAGGCTGGTCTTGAACCCCTGGACTCAGGCAATCCTTTGCCTCTGTCTCCCAACGTGTTGGGAATACAGGTGTCAGCCACCATGCCTGGCAAGACTGGGGTCTTAAAGCGGACTTAAAAGAGAAGTCTGTGGGATGCCTCTTGCCTCTGGGTCCACACAAGTGTTTGGGGTGAGAATGGCTTGACATGGTGGGTTGGCAGTTGAGGGAAGCAACCAGTGCAGGGTAGACCCACCAGGCACCCCTCAATCTCAATGCATTCTCTAGAGAGGCAGGGCCACTATTTCCCACCCCATCCCTAAAAACCCTTCCCTGGGCAGGACTCTCAGCTGGAGCCATAGAGGGTGTGGGAAGAGCAAGCTGACTCAGCCCGCTCTGATGCAGCATTCTTTATCTTTCAAATGTGTGTGTGATAAAATCCCTAATTAATACTTTGCAAGAACTGATTGCCTGTTGGCAGAAGTTAGAGTCCTTTTTTACTGATGCAAAGGACATCTGGAGCACGGTTATGAAAATCTGGGCCTCCCTGGCAGCATAATTCATGTAGGTCTTCCGGGTATAGGGAGCCCACTAAGGGGGTGGAGGAGGCACAGGCACACCCTGAGGACCTCTGAATCCCACTTCTCAGAATGACCCTTCCATCACCACCTCTGTCCTCTTGTCCAAGGTCCTGCCCTTGACCCCCACCCTCAACTCCTCCTGTGCCCGGCATCCTCAACTCACCCAGCCAATCCTCCCTGCTGGCTTTCCTCCGACAGCTCTGACCGGTGGCTCTCACCCTGACATCTTAATAAAAGTTGTTTCAATGGAATCTCGTGCCTGCCTTGAGCCTTCTCTGCCAGGCAGGCCCAGGGTGGCCAGTTGGAGCAGATGGGAGGCAGGGGCCAGTGGATGCAGGGCAGATGTGGGTCCGGGCACCCAGCACTGGGTTCCAGCTTTGGGTGAGCCAGGACAAGCCACCTGGCCGCTTTCCTCTCCAAGGTTGGCATTGGTCACCTGCCATGGTGGGTCTGTGCTGAGGCCTGAGGTATGTTGGTCACAGTGTCTGAGGCACAGGAGGGGGATTCATGGATGTCCATTCCTGGGGCCATAGGGACGTGGCTCTAAGGGGGCTTTGGCCCATGTCTTTCTTTCAGTCCCCCTTCTATCTGCCCTCAGCACTTCCAGCTGGGCCGGGACCACAGAAACTCCTCAGGTTTCTCCCAAGTATACAGACCCCGGGAATGGGGGAAGAGAGGGGTCCAGGAGCACCCCGACCTGGCCAGAGATGAAGGCAGGGCAGGGAGGAGGCAGTGGTCTGAGGCCTCACGCCCCCCTGCAATTTCAGACATTGGGGGCAGCTGGGAGCAAGGCCTGGTGAGGGCAGCAGCTCTTACCATTTCAGAGGCTGAGTTCAAGGGTCCTGGAAGAAGCTCCAACCTGCTCCCCACTCTCTGCCTCGGGCTGACTTACACAGACTGGCCTCTCCATTCAGGGGTTTTTGACAGTGGCCAGCAGCTGCTGAGATGAAGATGGGGGTGGGCCCTAGGAAATGTGGTGGAATAAAAATGTGGATCCCCTTTGTTGGTGGCAGCAAATTTCCTTTCTTTTTTTTTTTTTTTTTTTTGAGTTGGAGTCTCACTCTGTCGCCCAGACTGGAGTGCAGTGGCCGCTCCCGGCCACCGCAGCCTCCACCTGCTGGGCTCCGGTGGTCCTTCCGCCTCA